CCAAGGACATCATCCAGAGGCTGCTGGAGACGCAGTCTTTGCCCAGCAGAGGTCACTTGGTTGGCGGGGGGGGACAGCACTGGCGATCCCTGCTCTTACTTTCTAAGGTCACTCAGCAGCTTGGTGGAAGGATGAAGTCATCCACACATTTCACCAACACCTGCGTTAGGGCACCAGTGAGCTGGGAGGTGGGGGAGAGAAGGGCTCACTGTTTTTGACAATCTTATCACACATATAGGTCTCAGATGGTCAACAATGAAAAGCGGTGTTGTTGTAAATTGTACCTCAGTCCAAAAAAGAGGTGGGGGCACGGCGACCGTCTCAGCCACAGCCCTAGCTTATTGGGGTTTAACTGCCCCAACTTTGAGCCTCTGTCTCTGTCAGCAGCCCCCAGGGCCCATCAGTGGGGAATCAATAATGGGCCCGCTTCCCTCACTGATAGAGAAAAGATCTGGGGCCCAGAGAGAGGAGCAACCTCTCAAGTTCAAGGTCAGACCTATGGAACGCATCCTAGAACTCAGAGTGAAAAGGATAGCCACCAATTCCATGTCCAATTCAATCCTCAAGGTGACCCTGCAGATGGGGAGGTGATGCCATCCTCCCCATCTACAAATGCAAACTGGAAGCTCAGAGAAGTGAAGTTCCCTTCCCCAGGCAGCAGAGGTTGGCAGAGACCAGCTTTGAACAAGGTCTTTGCTTTCTGCCCCTCCACCTGCCACATGCCTGCTTCCAGAGGGAAGTCCCTAGCCTGCGCACCTTTGTTGACACTTACAGAGCCACCTGGTGATTTATAGCCTTCATTCAGTAGATGTGACAGATGCATGTGGACACCATGTCTGGGAGAGGCCCTGGGTTGAAGACACAAAGATGAATGAAGAGCAGTTATAATCTAATGGCAGAACTATAAAGCAGCGCATCTCTGTGCTCAGATGAGAGAAATGTGGCCCCAGGAGGGAAGTGATCTACCAAAGCCCGTGTGGTCAGTGAGGGGCAAGAGCTGGATGAGAGTCTAACTCTGTACCCTATTTCTTGATAAAGAGTCACCCAATGGTCCACACCGACGCAAACTGCTCACTCTCTTGGGTAACCACAGAAGTGAACTGAGACCACAAAGAGATGCCACTTTACACTCATTACATCGACACACATTTAAAAGTCTGATGAAGCAGGTGCTGGTGAGGAGGGGGAACAGAGGGCACCCTGTGCCACCCACATGGCACAAGCACCCTGCATGGCCCCATCAGGTGGGTGAGGATGCAGTGGCAGGGGCCTCCCAGTTGTGCAGCTGTGCAGTCACGGGGGCCGCACCCGGCACGACGCTCCACCGGTGCCAGCCTGATCCCCCAGTCATCTCTCAAGGGCCCCGAGTCCTGATCCGCACCAGGCCCCGGAGGTTCCCGGGCCAGTCCACCCCCGCAGCTTCGCTCTGGGGTGCGCGGGTCCGGGAGACCCGCCGAGGATGTTCACACAGCTCGGCTTCTGCAGAGACCAGAAGCCCACACAGCGTGGATGGATGTGAAAAACAGGGCGTCGAGTCATGAAAACATGAAGCAGAATACACACAGCAGAAAATGTTTTAAGTCTTTTCATGGTTTTCATCATTTTTCTATCTTTTCATAAAAAGAAAAGCAAAATGAGCATTGTTTATAATACCCACTTGACTAAGTGGGTTAAAAGGCTGTGGCCTGTGCATACAATGGAATGTTACTCGGCCATAAAAAGAATGAAATCTTACGTTTTGCAATGGCATGGATGGACCTAGAGGGTATTAGGCTGAATGAAATCGTCAGTCAGAGAAAGTCAAATAAAACAAAATTGCAACAGATAGATACAGAGAACAGACTGAAGGCTGTCCAAAGGGAGGGGACTTGGGGGGCTGGTGAGAGACGTAAAGGGACTAAGAAGTACAAACCGGCAGTTGCAGAAAGGTCACAGGGATTAAGCGAAGCACAGAGAACGTAGCTGATAATATTGTGGTAACTGAGTATGGTGTCAGTGGGGGGACTAGGAATATCAAGGGGAACACTATGTAAAGTATATAATACTTGAATAGAAAATTAAAAAGGACAAAATAAAAGTGTATAGGGAGATATATATTCATATATATACAGTAAAATTCATTTGTTTAAAGATTTTATTTATTTATCTTTAGTGGGGAAGGGAAGGAGAAAGGGAGAGAAATATCAATGTATGGTTGCCTCCCCTGCTGGAAACTGGCCTGCAACCCAGACATGGGAATCAAACTGGGATCCTCTGGTTCGCAGGCCCACGCTCAATCCACTGAGCTACCCCAGCCAGGGCGTAAAATTCATTTTAAAAATCCTCTTTAAAGATGACGCAGAGGGTGGGCACTCAAAGGTACACACTGTGGGCAAGACGGTGTTCTGGGTTGGTTGGTGGGTCTGTAATTATTATGCTTCATAGCTAATCTATGGCATCGATTCTCAATGTGTTTATGTCAAATACTTCATATTTAGAAAATGGAAGAAGTGGCCCTGGTGTGCTCGCTGTGGGGATCAGGCATGGAGTTAGGGACAGCGGGCAGCGGGTGCACGGCAGGGCCGGGCATGTCACGCTGGCTGAGCCCGGACAGGAAGAGAGGCCACCGTGAAAGGGGAATGTCCTGCGGAGGCCCAGCCCTCCTGGGGTGCATGGTGGCTGCCGAGGGCCAGCTTCCTTAAGCAAGGCTTCTTTCTCAAACATGACGATGCAAACGGACGTTCTGTGTGCCCGACTGCAGCCTGTTTTCGCCAGCACACAGCTCTTATCCTGAGTCTGTTTCGTCTTCCGTGGCTTGATACTGTTCTAGCAGTGTCTGGGCAAAAAGGTGCCTTTGATTTCAAAAAGTTTTATTTTTGAAATTGTACTTCTAAACACCTTAGTTATTTTGTTCCCTGACCAAAATCATATCTTGTTTTTCCTTCTCTCTTGTCTGAGTTTTGTCATGTTCATATTGCTTTATAATTTAAGAAAGGAGATGGAGAGGGCAGGGAGGAGGAGAAGGGGAGGAGGTAAGAGAGAAGGAGGAAGTGGTCTCCCCCGTCGCAGCCAGAATGACTGAGGCAGTGGTCTAGTGAGGGGCCTGCCTGGGGTGGGCAGTGGAGCCCCTGCGGGCCCTGGCGCCATGCCCGGAGCCGGCACCTGGAGCAATCCTCAAAGGTGCTCTGGGGAGGCCATGCCCCCTGCTTGGCCTTCGGTGCCCAGATGTTGGGGACGCCCCCAGCCCACTCCCAGGAAGCAGACCGGAGATGAAGTGTGGCTTTATGTGTGGGCTTGGCTGAGCCGTCCTCGACTGGTTCAGAACCTGCCTCTGCCCCACCCCAGCCTGATGAGGACGGGAGGGCAGTGCGGGACCAGAAGGGGCAGCTGGGGAGCCGTCAGGGCCCTCTGAGGACAGCTCTCAGGGTGGGTTACTCATCAGCTTTCCCAGAGGGGCATCTTGCTTCTGCCCACCTTGAAGCCACCCTCCCCCCAAGCCTGCCCTCAGGGAACCTGGCCGACTGCCTTGAGGCCCAGTTCGCATGGCCCCAGCTCCTACTCCTCCCCCAGACAGACCCTGTGCTGGACTTGACCTCTGGGTGCAGATTGTTTCCTTGCTGGCAGAGAGCCTGGCTGATGTCCCTGATCTCCCCGCTACCTGCCATCATGATGGCCTGGTCTGGCCGGGGCCACTAAGCTCTCGCCTGCTCAGAGTGCCCTGTCCCTCAGGTTGCCCCCTGCCCCCAGCCAGTGGCCCCAGAGAGAATGCTGTCCTGGGCTCCAGCTCCATGGCAGTGGGAGGAAGTGCGGAGCCACCATCTGGCTGCCGTGATGAGATTCAGACACATGAGGCAACTCATTAGGGAACAATGGAGACAGCATATACTTAAGAACGAGGATTCTGCTGCGCAGATTCTGTGGGAGCTTTGAAGGAGGAAGAGGGGGTGAGGGCCGGGGAGGGCAGATGGGTGACTAGCTGAGGCTGGGGGGTGGCAGTGACAGGGCCCGAGTGGAAACGCCGGCCCTCCCTCGGTGAAAGGACGAAGAGATCCAGCTGCCTCCCTGGTGGTGAGCGGTGGAGTGGTCTGGAGGGCGGGAGACCACTGCCCCAGGCTGCCTGGGGCAGGAGGGGAGGGGGCCCTGGAAACTCGCACGGGTGATTCAGGAAGGACTATGGAAAATGAGGCCAACCAGGCCTGAAAGCAGGCAAGGGGGTCCCCTAGGCGAGGAGAGTGGGTGGGCAAAGGCTGAGGCAGGGGCTCACAGAGGGAACGATGCAGCAAGCCCTGGCCAGCCGGCTCCAACTAACCTGAAAGCACAAGCTACCCCACCCTGTTTTGCGGAGCTCAGGCAGCATTTTGGGGCCCTGGCTCAGCAGCTGCTGCATGGAGGAGACCGTTTTTAATACTCATCCAAGGATATGGTTGTAAAAAAAGCAGACTTTAGAGAGAGAGGAAGGGAAAGAGAAATATCGATCGGATGGTTGCCTTCTGCACGCACCCTGACCGGCGTTAGGTCCTGATGAGATCAAACCCACAACCTACTAACAGAGCCATGGTCAGGGCGTGGAGGAGGCCATTCTGCTGTTGTCCACATTCCCTTGACGTCTGGGTTCAGCCCGCAGCACAGGGAAGAACCTCCCACGGGGCCTCGGACCCACTCGCTGCCATTTGAGCACTGTGAGGGCAGGGCTCCTTCCTCAGCGGCCCAGGGGCCCCAAGGACTACTGTGGGTTCCCAGGGGCCTGGCCTTGGTGCCACGAGCCCTGCACGTGCTCACCGTGGATGCAGCTTCTTGCTGCTGGTGAGGGTGGGCTGGGAGCCCACGGATGTGAACCAGGCTCTGGGCAGGCCAGCTGGAGGGGCTGGGGGCCAGTAGGGCTCCCTCCGGAATTCATCTGCTTCCCCTGCAGCGAGATTTGTAGACGGTCCCCTGCACCCCACAAACTTCCAAACACCCTGGACACCCAGGGGAACCAGGAATTCAGAGGTGAGACAAGGCAGGACTCAGGACTTGAGACATGTTTCAGAACTCATGGTTTATTAACACTTGAGCACAGCAGCCCTGGGAGGAGACGGCCTTTCTGGTCCCTGCAGGCAGGGTAATAGCCACCCGGCCTTAGAAAGGACCCCTACCCCCCACAGAACCTCACAAAATGCGCACAGATAAACCCTTGGCAAGGCTGGCACAGCGTGAGAACGGCAAAGCGCGGCAAGTTTGGCAAAGCTGTGGGGCCCCCGAGGAGAGCCCAGGCCCTAGGGGCTGCCCCTCTGGGATATGGGCAGGATCAAACCAAACAGCCCAGTCTGCACAAGCCCGCCTGGCTGCCGCAGGGCTGGCATCAGGCCAGGCCTGTCAGAGCTGTGCCCGAAGCCCTAGGAACACTGCTGAGGTAGCTGGGGGAAGGGGTGAGGCGGGACTGCAGTGGGCTCAGGGAGGGTGGGATCCAGGATCTCAGCAAGCCCCTGCTTCTCCCCGCGGCCTGGCACCTACTGCTATCTCCCTAAAGCACACCCATTTCCTAGCCCTGGGTGCTGAGGACAGGCTGGGTTGGGGAGGTCATGGGTTCACCTCTGGATTTCAGCAGGTGGGTAGTTAGACTAGCTGCCCTGGGGAGCCCCGCTGTGCCTGCCCCCCTCTCCCACCCCACCCCCACCCCCACTTGGGATCGGCTTTACCTGTAAAAGTGGAGCTAGAGTTCTCCAGCTTTTGTATTCCACATAAAGCCCTGGCATCAGTAGCTCAATTCTTTTCCAACCCACTTAGTTTTAAGAATAGACACTAGTAATACTTAATCACCCTGCTGGTGGTGGGGGAGGGGTCCTCAGCAGCATCTCTCCAGGACGTGCTGGGTTTGCCCCAGGGCCTCCCTGCTCCTCCAGAATTCCAGAAGCTGCTGCAAATTCAGTGCAACACTGTGCCCAAAAAAGGGGAAACTGAGGCCCAGGGAGGTACAATGACTTTTGCAGCTCACATAAGGAGCCGGTGGCAAAGCTGGGACTTGAGAGGGGGATCAAGGTTTCCAGACCAGTGTCTCAGCTAGGAGCCCTCTTGGGAACTGAAGAGGAAGTGGAGCCAGCTGCTCAGAGGTTGAGGGTCTCCCAGTGGCTCCCCCTGCAGCCAGTCCCAATGGAAAAGAACCGCTCTGTGCCTAGGGCCGCAGCAAGAGAACACAGACTCTTTGGGCTGCCAGGCCGGCCAGACCGCAAAGACCTCTGCTGGCGGTGGGGCTGGGGTTCAGGCTTGGAGCCCAGCAGCCTGGCTGGGGGTCAGAAAGACAGCAGGACAAGCCTGGAGAAATGTCCTGGTGGAGCCTCCAGCCAGGGCACAAAGCAGACCATTAAGTGGTGTAATCCAGACCCCACACAGCGAAGCTTCTCTCTTGGCAGCAATCAATGGAATAAGATCAGCAAATAAAAGAGGAAAAAAACCGAGCCCACTGCCCCCTCCTTCCAGTCAGGCCACGCCCTCAGGATGCCAGGCTGTAAGTAAAGGGTGGGGCCACACCGAGTCTTGTGCTGGGAGGGGCTGACAAAGGGGCTTCTGACCCCCAGAAGGCAGTGGGGGCCTTCGAGTGAAATGGGGCAACACTTGGTCATGCTGGCTGCCGAACTTTCTCTGAACAGCAGTGCCTGTGTCTAAGATGCTTTATCACGAGGCCCAAGCAAGGCATTGACTACATGGCCTCAGTGTCTTCGTCCTGCTCTAGGAAAGGGGTAGAGTCAGCCTTCAGGCAGTGGCCCCCCAAGGCTCCTATCCTTCCCTGGGACTCCCCTCAGTGCCACTGGGATTGGGGGCTCCCTGCGCGGACCGATCTGGGGCCCTGCTGCTGTAGTGGACTCGGAATGCTCCCTCTGCACCTCCTGGCGTGGGGCCCTGGCACCAAGCTTCCTCCCACTGCCCAGCGCCCAGGGAACACCCTGCCAGGGCCTCGGTTAAGCCGCTCACTGCCCTGCTTAGACCACCACTCTCTACTCCACACAGTTGTATCATCCCCACCGTGAGCTTCGCCTTCCCAGAGCAGTCGGGGACCCGGACACGCTCTCTCACAGACAGGCAATGCTGCAGGCAGACACAGCAAGGCAGCAGGGGCCACCAGCTGTTGGCAGAAAGAGGGGCAAGGGCTGGGTGGGTGGGACAGACTCCTGGCTGCACTCGGCTGCCTCCAAACAGACCCACCAGCTACACCAGACTTGCCAGAGCCTCTTTCATGTGTTTCTGAATGAAACCAATCCAACTACCAACACACAGGACATTCTGGAACATTCCAAACAGCAGCAAGGCTCTGCCTGCTCATGGAGTTCAGGCTCTCAGCCTAAGGTCCAGCCAGATACCAAGTGGCAGAGCCAAGGAAGGTGGGGATCAGGCAGGGGCCAGGGTCACCCTGAGCTCCCGGAGCCCCGTGGTCTGGCCTGGGCCATGCCGCACAGCCCACGTTCTTAGGGACCAGCCACTTTGCTGCCAGTGGAATGTCACTCTCCTGGGAAGAATTCTAGCCTAAACCATCCACTGTCACAAAATCAATCCCGCTTTTGTGGAAACTTAAATGTGCCTATTAAGAGCCCATCCCAGGCCTGGCAGGTCCAGCCTTACCTAAAACTGTTTAAGGCACTTGAATGGCTTATTAACACTACCTGGAAAGATTTTTGTTTCAATCTTGATTTAAGAAAAAAAAAATTGGTAATACTGCAAAAAAAGTTTCCCCTAAAAAATATCAATACGTTAAGTTTTCTAAGGAATAAAATAAATGCTAAGCTCTGCTTATTAGACAAACAGGTCCCCCTGGCACTGATGGAACAAAGACAAAACCTGAAATACTGCTTTTCCGAATTGGACTTTTCCCCGGGCGGGAAGAGGGGGGTTGGCACACAACAGACAAGTGTAGCATCTCTGAGCTTCCCCTCCCGGGGTGTGTGGAGGACGAGAGGGGCCAGTGAGGCCAGAGCCACACGTCACGGCTGCCATGATGCAGGCGGGTGACTGCCGCAGACCCGATCCCCGATCCTCTCCTGTTTGGGGAGCAAGCTCCACCAGCCAGGCCCCGCCAGGCGTGTCTGCAGACATGAAGCCCACCGCTGAGGCCGACGAGGAATGGGTGAGAAACCTGCATCGGGCACCCTGGGTCTGCCCAAGGGCCCACACAGTGTCCTGCTGCCCGGTGTCTTTGGTCTGGCTGCAGTCAGTGACTGTGGCCTCTGGTTCCACCCCTGCCCCATGGGGAGCAAGAGCCAGTCCAGTTCCCGGGTCATTTTCGCTTTGGTGAGGACTCCTTTGTTCTACTGCCCGTCATGAGCAAGGCATGATGCCACCGTCCCGCACATCTCCGCAGCGGTCCGGACGGACCAGTGGGAGCAGTGTGAGGACTCGGGAATCCTAGGGGAAAGCACTGCTTGGGTGGTGCCCGCTTGCCACCACTACCCGTCGGGTCCTAGGACATCTGAGGGGTGGGGTTACAGGCAGGGACCACCGGGGGCCTGGGCCTCCTCACTTCTCCACGGAGCATTGCTCTCTGACTCTGAGAGGTCAGAGGGCACGGCCTGACTTCTCCGGTCTCTCTGGGAGTCCCCAGCCCCCTGGACACCACCCTCCAGCAGGTCTTGGGGATCCCTGAAGAAGACCACCATGACCGTGATGTTGTCATGGGAGCCCCGCTCCCGGGCTGCAGCCACCAGCTCCTCAGCGACACGCAGCCCACTGCCCTGCTGCCGGACCAGGTGGCTCTGCACAAGGCCGGCAACCTCCTGGTGGGCGACTACGTCAAAGAAGCCATCACAAGCCAGTAGTAGGTAGTCCTCAGAGCCGGTCAGCTCCCGGGAGGCCGCGTCTGCCTCTCCAGACACATAGGGCTTCTGGAAGACATCCCCTGTATACGGGAGAGAGGCGCCTGGGGTCAGAGAATCGGCCTGCTGGCTGCTCCACTCGTTTTGCCAGCCTGGCCTCGCTGTGCCTACTCCCCTCTGACACCCATGATCATGGGCAAAGACGCAGGGCAATAAGATATCGCATGGAGGGGACATGACAGATATATTCTGGTGTTCCTGGGGGAAGAATGAAGACCCAGGAGGGTGGGAGTTCAGCTCCACAAAACTGCTTTCGCACTTCCCATGGAGCAGGGCCCAGAGTGCGTGGCCTGGGACGCAGCATGGGTGGTGGCCCTGGCTCCCCTGAGCTCCTGACAGCGCCCCCCAGACACCCAACTGGCGCTCAACCAAGCTCACTCCTCCTCCCTCACGCCTGCTCCTCCAGGAGAACGGCACCACGATCCTCAGGTCCTTAGGCCCAAATCTTGGGGGTTTCCTCTGATTCTCTTACACCCCACATCCAACCTGTTAGCAAGTCCGACTGGCTTTACCTTCAGATGCAGCTCAAACTCTCCTCCTCTCCCAATTTCTATAGCTCACCTCACCCAGGCCCCCCAAGGCTGCCCATTGGCCCCCTTCTACCCTGTCGTCCCTTACACGGAACTGCCCAGAACTCCCCACCCCCTGGAAGGGAGCCTGGCTCCCACTTCCCTGCCCTGGTGTGCCCAGAGACTCAAGGGCAGAAGCCACAGAAAGAAGGGGTATAGAGAGGGCAAGATTCTTGGCAAGGAAGACAGACGTTATCAGGAAGGAGGCGATTCCTCAGTGTCTGAAGACGAGATGGGGCTGCTGAGCCCTGGACTGGGGCCTGGCAGCGGTGGACGCTGAGAAAATGGGGTGGGGCAGGTGAGGGGCTGCTTTTACTTCAGATTGTCAAAGACAGGGGAAAAAAAGAATCATTAGTGTGTGTGTGGGGGGGGGTAGACCTCACTTACGGAGTATTTAAAACTCCCAGCTAACCAAAGGTTTCCCTCTAGATTGTTTGAGGAAGGGTTTCAACAAAAAGGTAAGGACGTGCAACTTGAGCCACAATGATCTGTGCGAGATGGAAGTTTCTTAGGCGTCTGTGCCTGCGCTCTCCACCCTCCCTTCACGGTCTGATTGTCAACCCAACCCCACTGACGACAGGCACCTTTTCAGCACATGACACTGCTGTCCCCAACAGTGGGGTCCAGAGGCCTGAGCCCTGGGTGGCCTTCGCTCCTGCCCTCACCTCCTTACCAATGGCTCTGGAGACAGCCAGGGTCCCGTTGACTCTCCAGCAGTCCGTGTGAGACACGAAGCCCCCCAGCGCTTCGATGCGCTCCTTCTCGTCCTGCGGGAGACAGCCGGGGCGGGGGCAGAGTGTCCAGCACTGCCACCCAGAGGAGGTGAGCCGGTGTCTAAGACAGCGCTCGGAGCCACTGCTCTCGAAAGACGCCCAAATGGGGCTTTAGTCACATAGTGAGAAATTCTGAATAACCTAATCGCCCTTCAGCTACAGGAGTGATTAAATAGGTCATTGTGCAAACACAGACAGGTCACTCATGGCCACTGACCAGCAGCCCATCCCTGAGCAGCATTTCAGGGTCAGGGACATGCTCATGAGGCAACAGAAGGAACACGAGCCCCAGGGTCAGACGGCAGGTCCCCAACTGCCTCTCTTGTCGTGCAGGACACTGTCCCTTCTCTGTAAGCTGCTGCGAGGAGACCGAGCACGTGCAGCATGTGGAAGGTCTGGATGAGACCTGAACCAGGCCCTAGACAAGCCCTGTGGCCCGGGTCCTCATCCTTCTCCTGCACCCGCAGACCCTGCCCACTCCCAGAGGACTACGGTGCTCCCGGCCTGAGTGGACAGAACGAGGCCCAGCCCAGCTGTGAGTCCTCAAACCTCTGGCCCTATAAACCACCCCCAGCTAGAGGTTTCCAGCCATGAGTCTGCCGCCTCAGGGAGGGTAACGACACTGTCCGCTGCTTGATGATGAGCCTGAGGCTTGGAAAGGGTGGAGCCAGGGCCAAGCACGGCCATCTGTCCTTGCTCTTTGCCACGGTGTCACGTCCCACCCTGAGCTCAGGCAGTGTTTGGAAAGTGCTACCTGCAGAAAGTACTCAGTGGGCCTCAGAGGGGGTGTAGGACTCTGACTTACATGGGTGAGGCCAGCGGGTGCAGAACCAGCACCCCAAGAAGAGGTTTCTCTCTACCACTAACTCGGGCCACAGTTCACCTGACTGCTTGTCTTGGGGCAGGAGGGCACACCTGAGAGCAGGCACTGGAGGCCCGGAAGTGACAGAGAGTACCTGCCACTTCCTGGCTGTGCTTTGGGCAAGTTACTTAACCTCCCTGGGCGTCAGTTCTCTCCTCTATAGCACGGAGAGAGCGGCGTAGCTAGGAGGCTGCGCACAGGCTGGGAGCTGCCGTGAGGCTGAGGAAGGCTGTCATTCCCGGCTGTTTCCATACTCCCTGCAGTGCTTTCTAGACGTCACAGAGACAGTTCCACAGAATTACATAAAACCAACACTTCACGTGGAAAAGCCCATAAAGACAAAAGAATTTGCAAATCACTGCGCAGACAGGGAGCCAAGCTCCCCGATGTTTATAAGATGCCTACAGATTGGTAAAAAAAGGGCAACGGTTTGGGACAAACATGGGTGAAGGACGGGAACAGAGTGTTCCCAGGGAAGGTGATGTAAACCATCTTCAGCACTTGGAAAGATGTGAGAGCTAGTTCCTTAACAGAAACTAAAACTAAACAAACGCCTTCTCTCCTCAGGACCCCACCCAGCCCGGGGGGCGGGTAGTTCGGCAAGTCCGTGCCCTGCAGACGAACCTGAACAAGGTACATCTGCACTGTTACAAGGACATGCTGTACTGTTATTGATTGCTGCCTTGTTTCTAGTACCAAAAGACTGAAAAAAAAAAAACTGTCCATCGTGGAGAGACGAAAATGAATGGAACTGCACCAGTCCTAGGAGGGGGTGGGAGCAGTTTACTTGAAGACCTGAAACACCCCCCGGTGCACGGGGAGAAAATGCCCGTGCAGAGCAGCACGTGGGGGCTACAGGCATCCCCCAGACCCGCAGACTCTCTCTCCCACCTCAGGACACAGAATGGACGCCTCGGTGAGAAATGGTCCGAGTAGGAACGTGATCCTCGTTTCCAGGTGGGTGACTGACCTCAGGGTCTCAGCAAAGCTTCCGCCTAACAAAGCTCCCAGCCTGTCTCCTTCCAGCCCAGCGTCACCTCCTCCCTGAAGCCCTCCTTCCCCATAGCCCAGGTGGGCCACTCCTTGCTGGCATGCACGCTAGGACCCTGCACGCTGACCCTGTTTACTGGGCTGTGTCCTGGGTAGACAGCCCAGCTCCGTCCCACAGCTCTGGGTGCCACCTCACTATGACAGGAGGGGTTTACTGGGACCACTGGCTGTTAGCGTCCCAAGCTCTAGGGGACCCCTGGCCACTGGAGCCCAGCAGGGGAGCTCTCCCCATGGAGGAGTGCCACGGGGTTTCCTGGGAAGATGGTCCCTTTTACTTCCTAATCTGTCCCAGGGACCTTCGGCCAGGGCTCACTGACCACCTGCTTCCCTGACGGGCCCAGCCAAGGGGGCCAGGGATGTCCCAGGTGTGGGTGGAGGGAGCCCTCACCTGTCGCTCGGGTCTATGTGGCTCCATCAGCTTCACTACCTGTCCCTGCTGTACCAGGATAACCTGGGAGTCCCCGAGCCAGGCGACGTGCAGGGTCTCTCCTGCGATGAGCGCGCACACACCTGTGGTTCCGCTCTGCAGTCGCTGCGAAAAGAGAAGGCCGAGCGGGGTGAGGGCGAGCCAGGCACCTGCCCCGCAGGCACCCGCTGTGCAGACCGAGGGACTGCCGGGAGAGTGCTCAGCCGGAGACGTCAGGGCTGCTGAGGCGGACAGGCACCGTGAAGGTCACAGGACGGTGCTGCATGGAAGGAGGGCGCAGGCCGTGTGATCTCATTTATATCAAACTCGGGAAACACATCTGTGTGTCAGGGGGCAGAGGAGTGGGGAGCAGGTGGGTGGGGAAGGACGGGAAACGGGGCAGGAAGAAACTTCTGGGTCGAATATCTGTCACTGTGAGGGTTTCAGGGGGGGAGACATATGTCCAAACCTATCACATCGGACGCTCTAAATATGTGCAACTAATTATGTGTCATTATACCTCAATAAAGATGTTTATAAATGACAAACTAAACCAAACGCTTGCTTCAGAGAATCCTTTCCCAACTCTGAGTGGCCCTGAGCTCGGAGGCTTTTCTTATCTCCTGGGGGTGACAGCGGCCAGGAGGCTGAGGCAGGCTGGGGTTTCGAGGGCGCCCCCTCGCTGTCTTAGGTGCCTTGAGGTTTTCCGTCAAGACCGGCTGTGCTGACTTCCGCGCAGGCCCCCACCCCACGTCTCCTCACCAGCCGTGTCAACTGGGCCTCAGTTTCCCAGTGTCTAACATGGGCCTGATCTCAGCATCTACCCCGCGGGGCTGCGAGACACCCACTGACGAGAACACAGAAGAGGCTCAGTGGAGGTGGGGGGGGTGGACTGGTTCTTCCTTCTTTCAGCAGCAGAGGCCTCACCGCCGAGCAGCTCGAACTCCCAAGGAGGGAGCACACTCCGGACACGCCGGCTCCTGCAGAGACCCCGCCCCGGAGAGCGGCGGGCACTCGGGCTGTGCACTGTGTGTTTTGTTTTCTGCATTTTATGGTGCTTGAATAAACCAGGGGCCTTGCTAACCCTGGAGAGAATCCCCGCCCTCACCCGCCGGGCCAGCTAATTCCTGAAGACAGCAAACATCTCCCTGCAGAGTGCCTGCTGTGCACAAGCCAGTGGGTCGGGAGCCCATGTCTTCAACAATCTGCTCTGCGTCTCATGCCGGGCCGACGTTCCCGTGGCCCAGAGGGCTGGGACTGGCCGGGTAGCCCAGAGCCTATATGGCTGAGTCCAGTGAGCCAATCCTGAGCTCACGGTGTCCCGCTGGCCCTGCCTTGCCCACGCCTGTCGGCGGAGACCACAGTGAAGGCTATGGCCACGCTCTCCTCTCTCTCTGCCACCTGACCCGTGGGGGTGCTTCCCACGCGGCACTGTGTGGCATGGCGCCACCTTTTGGGAACTGTAAGTAATAAACACCTCCACGTAATAAACGGCTCTTTCGGGCATTTGTCTCTGTGTCCGTCATCTTACGCTGCTTAATTAAGACAAAATCCTGGGCACATCTTAACACAGCCAGCCTGTCCTCCCCCATGAGGCCAGCACGCCCTCCGCAGGGGCTGGGCCCCTCTGATGCTGATGGCTCCTCGCCCCCAAACTGCATGGGAGACGGGTCTACCTGTCCTCACCTCGCGCTTGGCTTTCCTGAGGAACATCTCATCGGTGCGCCAGAAAGCTTCTCTGAGGGCTTCCGCAGGGTCTGTGCGCAGCTCCGGCTGGTGAGCCGCGTTGGCGTGTACATGCACGGCAGCGTACCTCGCGGCATCCACTCCCCCGTGACCATCAAACACTGCAAAGTAGGCGCGGTCCACAGGGTCCTGGTGGGGAACACAGTGGGAGTCACTGCCCGGCTGGCCTCATGCCTGACTGTGGCTGGGACCCAGCCTGAGGCTCTCATCGGGCACTGCCACTAGGGTCAGGAGGGGCCTGGAAGAATCAGCCTGGCCCCCGCCACCAGACAACCCTCCGGTGAGTCAGACCCCCTTCTGCACTAGGCTGCTGGCACCAGGAGCCGTGTCAGGCGGCCACGAGTGCCTCAGACAGAGCGGGACTCAGCAATCATGAGTGCGGGTGAACTTGGTGCCCAGGGCCTCCGCTCACAACAGACTCAGGAAAACCATTCCCTGCTCAGTCCCTCAGCTGGGAAAGCAAGGTGGCTAGTGGCTGCCCTGGCCCAGAAGTGCTGGGACAATGAACTGGGCCTCCCAGACTCCCTGGAAGTGCTTTGAGAGACGTCAGCACCGTGGCCCTCAGATGGAAGCTGTAGGCATCACTCCTGCCTCGGCTCTGGCTGGAAGCTCTGCTTGGCGCCCAGAGTGGTCTCCAACCCCTTGTGCAAGCCCTCCTTGTCTGCCCTGACTGGAGACGCTGGTGAGGCCTCCCCAGGGCCCGGGAGGTGGAGCACTCACGGACAGGCCGAAGAGCTGGTTGAAGGCAGGAAGGCATACATGCCGGTCCTCCATCCTGCGGCGAGTGTTCCGGATGGCGTGAATGGAGACCAGCCACTGCCGTGGCAGAACCCGGGCTGTCGAGGGCACCTGCTTCTGCCAATGGCTGCATACTTCCCAGAGACGGTTAAAGAAGCTCCACGCCAGGCCCTTGGTGTCCAGCACTGATGGGCAAGATGGGGGTCGTTAGGGAAGCACCAGTGCAGGCCAGCTGATGCTCCGCTGCCTCCCCTGCCCCCCTCCCCCTGACGTGGCCTCCAGACAGCCCCATCACAGGCCTGCACAGCCCCTCCAGCCAGCACCCCCCCCCCGGCATACCAGCCAATAGGACAGGCCGTATCATCAGCAGTGAGCTGTGTCTGGTTTGGCAACACCCACCGAGAGCCTCCTGCCCCACGTGGAACACCTCCACTCGTGGAATCCCGCCCCAAGGGAACAGCAGAAATGTGCCAGTAATTTAAGGACAAAGTACAGAGCCAATTATGATTCTGCATTAATTAGAAACACTACATATCCACGACAGAGTAAATTACGGTTCATACTTCTGACAAAGAATTACACTGCTATTAAAAATAATTTTCACTACTAAACACGTAACTGCCATTGGCCCAGCAACCGCACCCCTTGGCATTTATCGCAGAGAAACAAGGACTTTGTTCACACACAGACTGGTGCCCCACCGTTCAGAGCAGCCCCACACACTGCAGGTGAAAACCCAGATCGGCTCGGGTGTCCCCCGATGTAGGAACAATTACACAGACGCGGGTACATCTTGCAGTGGAACGCCACTCAGCAGGGGCGGGGGGGAGCTATGGACACATACAGACACCGGGATGAGTCTCCAGGGAATTATGCTAAATGGGAAAAGCTGATCCCCAAAAGTTACGTCCTGTGTAATTCCACTTATATGTATTTTTGAAGTGATAAAATTACAGAAATTGAGAAGACTGGTGGTCGTCAGAGGTTGGGTGGGGGGTGTTAGGGTGGCCATGCAGGGGAATGAGGGAACCACCTGACTATGTCTGATCCTGGCCACCATATTTTACTTGTTTTGTAAAACATTACCATTGCAGGTAACTGGGTAAAAGGGGCCTGGGATCCCAATGTGTTATTTCTTACAGCTGCATCTGAGGCTAGCATTCTCTCAGATAAAGTTTAAATAAAAACGAACATGGACTTATACGGAGCTTGTAAGTATGTAAAATGCCTATGCCATGACGTTATGGAAAAACGCTGATATTATGAAAAAATGTTGATAAAAAAAAGGATGGAAAACCCCACATATAGTTGAGTCGTGAGTACGTGAGACATTTCTCGACCACCGGGACCCGGCAGGTGGAAGGCAGCGAAGCCCCAGCCTGCCGCGTCAGCAGCGGCTCTCCCCCGGCAGGCGGCGGTTTACAGGTGACGTTTTCTCTGCCGTACACCTCTCCAGTGCTTGCCCAGGCTGCCAGTACAAGTGTTAACCCCAGGGATGGTTTTAAAATACGTCCACACCCTCTTCGATTCTTCTCCCTTCAAAGATGGGAGCTCCATTCACTCCCTCTGAACGTATAACTGTGACCTCGGTGACCTGCTTCTAATGAATAAAACCAAAGTGACTGTGAGTGGCTCCAGATACCAGGTCCCAAGAGGCACTGTGGCTTCCCTGTCACGTGCCCTGTCTTCCTCACTCCCCCTCTGTCCCTTTCTGTCTCCCTCGTGAGCCGCTGGCTCTGAGGGAAGCCTCCCGCCATGTCATGAGGATGCTCCAGCAGCCCTATAGTGGAGAGTCCACAAAGGGTGGAACTGAGGCCCCCTGCCAACGACCGTGTTACTAAACCATGTCGGAAGTGCAGCCTCTGCTCCCACTGGCCTTCGTCTGACCTCCTGAGACCCTAGGCAAGAGCCACCTGTTCAGCTGCTCCCAAATTCCAGACCCACAGAAACTGTGGGACAGTAAGTGTTCATCGTTTTAAGCCACTACATTTTGGGTCAATGTTATGCAGCAACAAGTGATACTGCCGGCAACATAGACTTTAAAAGTTTAAATCCTACTTAAACCTGGCTCTAAAGAAAACACAAATAAGGAAGAGTCCAAAGGAACCCTCGGGTGCCACATCTCAGAGACTCAGTTCATTCTGGTGCACAAACCCTTCCTGGGAACCCTGCTGCCCCAGGTGCTGGTAGCAGGTACAGGTAAGTTGGTGCCAGTCACCTAAGAGGGGGCCCCAGGCAAGTACCTAGAAACGTGGTAGACTCAGGAGTGTCACAGGCTACACTTGAAGTGTTTGGAGAGTTGGAGAAAAAATAGCTTGTGCCCAAAGGAGGTGGCTGCAGAAGAAAAGAAGGGCCAAGGCCAGGGGAGGCGTGGAGGGCCGGGGAACACGGGAAGCCCTGGGGAGATATTTCTGAAGACACCCACCCATCAGGAGAGTCTGGAATTTGCTGCTGCCACCACACTCAGGACTTGGCCGTGAACGGCCTTTGTTGAGAACTGCGCTTTATCAGGTCTGAAATGCCCAGGGAGGGCAGAGCGCTGTTTACTCTCCTAGGTCATGCTGCTGTTGTCCAGCAGCATGCTTGAACTTGAATCTTGGCTCCAGCAAAGGGCAAGTACCAATGAGAATGATTACCTACAGGGAGGATCACCTGGCCCACACACTTCCGATGCTGCTCATAGGACACGCTACTCTCCTGGCTCCTGCAGGAACTACTCACTGGGGTGGGGCCATTGATGGCTCCACCTGACCCTGCCACACAGAGGTCTTAGTCACATCGCTGCTCTTGGGGGATGATCCTAACACCCCACTGATAGACTTTAGTAAGCCCCACTCCCCTGACAGGGACAGCTTATCCAGGCCTGCACAGAGGGCAGGAGCAGGAGCCCCCAAGTGCAGAAATCTGCTGCTGTACTGTTCCTTCCTGCCAGTAGGCGGCGCTAACATCCCGCGGGGATGCAGGAGGGGTGGGGCTGGCAGGCGCTCCCTCTGCAGAGACAAAGGCCTGCGGACTTTGTGGAGGCAATGGCTGCCTGTCACTGAGCTGCTGTCTCGCGCAGGTGGGAACATGAGGCCGTGCTATACGGGAATGGGGAGAGGGAGCCCAGGAAAAGGGCAGGGGACCTGGACAGAAGGGCCTGGTACCTACTGCAGGGGCAGGCTGCTTTTCTCCTCTTTGGCCGACCTGTTCATTGCTTTGCTTTGAATGCTCCCACTAGTGCTGAGATAGTCAGATAATGCGGGAATACCTTGTTTTATTATGCTTCCCTGGATCGTGCTTGACAGATACTGCATTTTTTGTAAACTGAAGGCAAGGTACCCCCCCCCCCAACCTCCACCACCGGTAAAAAGACTGACACTTTGCCCGCAGTGGCCTGGAACTGAATCCCCAGTATCTCGAAGGTATGCCTGTAATTAAGCGACGTAGGGGAGGTGTCAGCAAAAGTAGTCTATAAATGAACCAAATCAACCCACTGTATACCTTAAAGTTACACAATGTGATACATCAATTATATCTCAGTGAAAAAATAATAAAGTAACACAGTTAGATAGGAAATGGCAAAGGAAGCGGAACCTGCCGAGGTACCCACTACCCTGCTGACCAGGCCCGGGCCCCCACTGGCCCTCAGCCCTGCCCACGTGCAGCCTGGGCTGCACCCTTCACCAGAGGTGTGGAGTGACTGAGTGCTGGCGCCCAGCTGGGCCCACCGCACATTCTGCCGCAGGCCACAGCCAAGCAACCCCGGCTTGCTGTGTGGAGCTCCGGTCCGACGGGACCCCACATTTTGGTGAGATGTTAAGAGAAAGGAGTTACTGGGGAAGCGAAAGAAAGACAGACAAAATAAGAGCCCTGCCTTTTCAGCGTGAGGCTCACTCCGTTTATGAGTCTCTCTTGTGCATGACCACCGTCCCAGGAGCAGGCTGCCTCCCCAAGCTCTCGTGGAAATCCAGTCTCCACCTGACAGGGCCAGGTGGGCCCAGGCCATGGGCCAAACTCTACCATTTTCTACCAGCTGGACATCAAGGCTGTCCCTGGGAGCCCATTCCCAGGTCAGCCTCCCAACTCCGACATCACTACGGGGCGACGCTGGCTGAGGCAGAACAGAAGCTGACCAAGTCTGGAGCCTGGGGTCCTCCCATGTGAAATGGGCCACGTGGTATCCCTCCTGGCTGTTCTGCAGCCCAGCGAGCGGCTGCTGTGCTCCCCCCATGGTCATCAGGCTATGCGTGCTTTTGGTCCTGCTCCGTCACCAGCACGTGTGCACGGTGCTATCCCCTCGTGGGTCTCAGCCCTGTGCTGCCACACCGTCTTCCCCCAGCAAAATGGGAAAGGAGATGAAGGCCAGTTGAGCCCTGCCTTCTCCCACTGGTGGCCTGTCCTTTGTCTGGCCTGGCAAGTGTGTGGCCTGCTAAGCCTGGGGTCCCAAGAAAGACAACTCACAGGTCACAGGGGCCTTCTGCTCCTCCACTTCCTCGTTGTCCTCCTCCTCCTCCTCCTGCCTGGGCAATGTCCTGAATTCAGAAAGGTCTGTCTGCAGCAGCTGGGAAATTGCTTCATGGGCCAGAGATGAAGCAAGTGGTGGTGGAGCATTCCTGGGGTGGGAATAATAAGTGAACTGGGGCCAGCTCCTCAGCAGAAGCCAACACTTCAGCCCTGGCCTGAGTCCTCCAGAGGGAGACCTGGGCCCCCTCCACCCAGGGAGACCCCCCCTGGAGGTAGCAATGACCACATGCATCCCATTGTGGGGCCATAACGAGCAGGTCAGCCTCTGGTCCTTGGGGAGCCCCTGTCCATGTGGCACTGTTTACGGGGGCTGAGGCTGGTGGGGAGGGGTGTCGCAGCCTTGTCAGCTGTGTCCACTGGCCTTCAAGGCCAGGCCCAGACAAACTGCACAATGTTTAGCCTGATGACAGGTGCCTGGTGACCAGTACCAGCTGGGGACCTCTGGGTATGGGGGAACTTATGGGTTGAATTGTATCCCCCCAAATCCCTGTGTTGAAGTTCTAATCCCCAGTACCTCAGGACATGACCCTGTTTGGAACAGGGCTGGTTGCAGATACAATTAGTTAAGATGAAGTCACCACAGAGCAGAGTGGGTCCAGTAACACTGGATCCTGTTCAGTGGGAAATCCGGACATGGACACGCCCACAGAGGACACTGGGAGAATGAAGGCAGAGACCGGAGTGATGAACTTACAGCCAAGGTGGCCAGCAGCCACCAGAAGGAACAAGGCCTGCTGACACCTTGATCTTGGACTTCCGGCCTCCAGAAATCCGAGACAACCCAGTTCTGCTGTCTAAGGCACCCAGCCTGTGCTCCTTCATTATGGCCACCCCGGGAAACAAATCTTGGGCTGCACTTGGAAGGCTGGGCTGTGCCTGGCCCACAGGGTCCCTGGTCCATCAGAGCAGCCTGCACCAGGGGATGCTGGGGGTGGGGGTGCAGACATCAGGCCCCTGGGGAGTCCTGACCTCAGTGTGTTTTAAAGAGGGGTGTGCCACGATGGGAGAGGCTTCTCTCTGGCTTCTCCACTCAGGGCGACTGAAGGGTGAGCTCCCAGGAGGCCAAGGCCCCAGCTAGGCAGGACCTGGTGGTGGACAGGACGGGGCAGAGCAGGTGCCGGGCAGGGAGCCGGACAGGTTCCACGTCCACAGTGAGTCTCAGGTCCGACGGAGGGGTGAGAGGCCTCGGGCTGACGGGCACATGGCCTGGAGATGTGGCCTCTGACACACGGGGGTGAGGGCGACGGCCTGAAGGAGCTTCCCTGGGCGGACAGCGGGTGGGGGCCTGGGAACAGCTGGACAGGTGGCTGACCAGGCCCGTGTGGGGACAATTCTGGGAAGCAAGACTTGGTTGAGTGCTTCGAAGGTCACAGCCAGGCCATCCAGAACAGAACTGGGGGACTGGTGTGGGCAGGAATAGGAAAGCAAATGGAGGGAGGAAATGGGAATCTTGAGTGCAGCAAAAGGGGGACAAGTGGCAGCTCCTAGTAAGTTACGGGGTGAACCGACCGAGGCCCATGGGGAAGGACTGTCAAAAATTCTGCCACTGCCCTGGCTGGTGTGGCTCAGTGGATTGAGTGCTGGCCTGCAAACCAAAGGGTCTCGAGTTCAATTCCCAGATGGGGCACGTGGCTGGCTGGGTTTTGGGCCAGGTCCCCAGAAGGGGCACGTGAGAGGCAACCACACGCTGATGTTTTTCTCCCTTTCTCCCTCCCTTCTCCTCTTTCTAAAAATTAAATAAATACAATTTTTTAAATTAAAAAAAATTCTGCCGCAGATGTGTTTTTTCCACGGTTCTCTGGCCTGCCTGCCCAGCACCGAGCCTTGGGGCTGACTCCCACACTGTGTTCCTGGGAAGCCCTCCCTGGCTCCTCCAGGCATAGGGGTCACTACGCCTGGTGCCCCTACAGCTTCTAGAACATATCCTGACCCCAAAATCTGCCTCCCCAACAGTGGGAGGTGGGCTCACCCCCATGTGCCTTTCCCTGAGGGCTGGGGGCCAAGGCTCAGGGTGGGTGGCCCGTGCTTCTCTGCTGGACTGACCCACTGGGCTTCACCCTGATGACAAGGACCACCCAAGAGCCTGGCGGATGGTTCCCGTCCCTTTGGGGGCTGGGCACTTGTGGCGTCTATAGGTGGTCTTAGGGATCCACTGGGATGAATGCCTTCGAAAAGCAACCGGCCAACATGAGAAATGAGTTCCTCTGCCATTCGGGGATATCCTGTCCACCACCGGATCTTCCCTTCTCACAGCAGCAGCAAGGGGCGCCTGGGGAGGTCACGCTGAGCCTTCCTGCAGGCCCCTGAGGTCCCACTGCCGAGGCCACTGAGCTTCCGGCCATGGGGACCCACACAATGCCTGGCTTCGGGCCACACGCTTGCTTCCCGGATGCCTCTCCCGCCTCCTCCAGGGTCCCGCCCAACCCTCACCCCCCCCCCCGCCCCAATCCCCGCCGCCAGACACTCAGGCCTGGTGTCAGTCAGGGCTCCTAAAGGGGCCAGAAGAGGCAGTGAAGGGGACAGGGTGTGAGCAAGGCCCAGGAACCCGATAAACACTCCAGCCCCACACGCCTTGGGGATTTTCAAGGAATCTCCAGTTTAGCAGTAGAGACGAAAACATGTCTGAATAATATAGAGTAAGGAAGGCACTGCCTGGGAACCTGAGATGTGACAGGGAGCTGCAAACAACAAGGGAACAGATAGGATGTAAATTATCACACCCTTGAACTCAGCGATCTGACTTCCAGACAGTTTCATGAAAGATGCAAATTACAGCCTGGCTGGTGTAGCTCAGGGGATTAAGCATGGGCTGCAAACCAAAGGGTCGCCAGTTCCATTCCCAGCGCTCAGAAGCACACTGAGGCCAGGGCCTTGTCCTGGGTTTAGGGGTGATGCAGTGACTAGGGACTCCGAATGCCATGTGGCCTGCCAGCCCACACACCACATGCCTGGGTTGCAGGCCAGGTCCCCAGTGGGGGCCACACAAGAGGCAACCACACACTTATGTTTTTCTACCTCTCTTTTTCCCTCCCTTCCCCTCTGCCTACAAATAAATAAATAAAATCTTTTTTTTTTTAAAGATACAAATGACAATCTAAAAAAAACTCCACGGACCAACATGCTTGGGGCCTCTGCCACCCACAAGCCCAAGTGCTGCAGCCTGAGTGGACGCTCCAACTGTCACACACAGTGCAGACACCACATGAACATCCATGTCTACAGACAGAAGAAAAACTAGAAAAGGACCAAAATAACCGAAAATAAATCCCCTAAGATAGCTGGAAAATAGAAGACTTTGAAATATTACATTTTAAGGTACATTTGAAGGTACTTTAAGGGGGATTCACAGAAGCCTGAACGACCCCCTCCAGGGGGCTGTGACTCTTGGTCTCTTCTGTCACTAAGAGTCTCAGTCCTGCTCTGTCATCTTGCTAATTAACAGGGTGCTCAGTCGACACCCGAGCCTGGGGCCTGCTGCCACCGCTCTCCCTCCCTCTCAGCCTTGCCTGTTGCCGGGGCCTCGGGAAGCCCCGCTCCACCTCAAACAAGTCCTGCTTCTCCCTGCATTTAGCGTTAGGCACCTGCTCCAAGGCCCCACATCCCACGACCCTGCAGACCAACCCCTGACTGCTCCAGCTCAGGCCCTGCTCCGGGCAGGAGTGTGGTCCCTGGCTCCTGCTCAGCTACCCTCCTCTTCCTCACCCTCTGCCATTTCCACTGCTATGAAGCAAAACCACCCCACCGTCCCCGATCTTCCTCCTCCCTGCACATCCCTTCTCTGAGCCCTCTCCTTCCTTGACGTAGGACTCGACCCTCAAGTTGGTGCCCCCCCAAGGCCCCCCGAGCAGTGGCCACTACCTTTTCTTAGGTTGGACCCCATGTGCCTGGAGGCCTAGCTCACCTGGGGCTCTGCTGGCGCCCAGGCTGCCTTTCCCACCTGGCTTCTGCCCCTGTGGACACGTTATCCCTGGCACAGCAGTGTGCGGGCGCCTTCGCTCTTCTCCAGCCCTGGTCGGCATAGGTGCCAACCCTCCTGGGCCCACCTTTCCTGCCGTGGCCCCCGAGGCCCCATGGAAGGCACTGTGGCTGCTGGGAGGATAGACTCTGCGGCCCTGGGCCCCTCGAGTTCCCTTCTCCCTTCTGAGTGTGGCTGCTGCGCCTGGCTGGCTCCTTCTCCTCCCGTCCTTCAAGCTCCTGGCCCCGAGGAGGCAGAACTCTGGGAGCCCTCTCTTGCCCTCCCCTCCCACCTCCTACACCACCAGCACCCCCAAAGTGGCATCAGCAGGTCCCAGGCCCACTCTGCTCCATCTGCCTCTGAAATTATTTCCTCGAAGCCAGACCAGCTGGCAGTCCCCTCTACACATGCCATCCCCGAGGGACGTGGTCACTGGGAATTGTCTCCTGAGTGCTGTGGGACTGCGGGAGATGCTGGGATGGATGTGGCCCCAGAACAGGCCCACGACCAGAAGCCTTTGTGCTCAGCGACCCAAGCTCCCGCACTGCAGCTGCACGGGCAAGAAAGAGTGGGCAGTCGAGGGGAGGGGGCTGGAGCTGACCTGCGGAGAAGGAGGCACACTGAGGCCAGGGCCTTGTCCTGGGTTTAGGGGTGACGCAGTGACTAGGGACTACGAATGCCGTGTGGCCTACCAGCCCACACGCCATGAGCCTCCGCACATCTTTCTCTGCTGGTCAGACTCCCCTCTTCTGGGTCTCAGCTTCCTTATCTGTGAGATGGGGAAGCACCACCACCCGTCTGCGGGGCAGCGGGGCCTGCATGTGGGGCACGTGGCCAGGCCCTGCCCCAAAATGGAGGTCTTGGCCAGTTTCCTAACCCATCTGGCCTCTGTCTCCCCACCTGTGAAAAGGGACAGAAATAGGATCTACTGCTTAGCACCTGTCATGAGCTGAACTGTGGCCCACGAAATGATATGCTGAAGTCCTAACCCGAGTGGCTCATGGTGGGACCTTATTCAGAAATAGGGTCTTTGCAGGTCACACTGCAGGAACAGGGGGCGCCTCTTATCCAACAGGACTGGAGTCCTTACAAGAGAAGACACACAGAAAGACGGGGAAAACAGATGCCATGTGAAGAAAGACACATGGGAAGATGCCATGTGACAAGGAAAGCCAGGCTGGAGTGGCGTGTTCCCAGGCTCAGGCACACGAAGGGGCAGTGATGACACCAGAAGCTGAGCGAAAGGGCTGGAACAGACTCTTCTGACAGCCTTCGGGTGGGAACACGGCCCTGCTGACACACCGATCTCTGACTTCCGGCCTGCGGGGCGGAGACGATGCCTTTCTGTGACTCTAAGCCTCACTGCCTGTGGTGCTTTGTTATGGCCGTCTTGGGAAACCAACGCAGCGCTGCCACAGAGATGCACAGACTGGACACAAACTGCACAGGGCAGGAAGTGTGGGGTAAATGCCAGGTTCAAGGTCAGCGTGTGGCACATGCCATGCCTCTTCCTCCCATCCCGTGCTGTGCTGTCCCCTCCCGGTGGGTACAAGGCCTACCTGTTGCTCAGGAAGCCCACCGCCAGCTCGGCCAGCTCGCCCTCCACCTCCTCCTGGCTCAGCGCTGTCCCTGGGACCTTCCACGGCAAAGGGCTCTCTGGGCTCAGTGGGGCTGGGAAGTCGCGGAGGAACTCGTCCAGGAAGCTGGGGGTCTCCTCTGCTATCCAGCTGCTCTGCTCGGGGGCTCCAGAGGCCATGCCCAGAGCATCCCGAGGGGACTGCTGGCAGGGTTCCAGTCATGCACTAGGGGGAGACACCAAGGTCAGCAAAAACAGGGAGCACTCAGCGCCCTGCTGTGGGGTTTTTGGGCCTTGTAGTGCTGACTGCCTGGCGCCTAGATATATCTCCTGCACCTTCAAACACGTAGCGCAGAAACCACACCAACTCCGGGGCCCAGGGCAGAAGGCCACCCAGCTTCACACACAGTTAAGTGGGAGGGACAACCCTGGCCGCTCTGATCTGAGAGAGGACGTGGGGGAGGCTAGAGAAGTGGCTTCAGGAGCCAGAGCAAGAGGAAATAACTGCCTAGATATCCTGAAGGCAGGACAGCTTCTTGCAGCAATGGCCAGAGTGGCCAGTGGTGGGTAGGAGAGGGACACTAGGACCAGGCCACTGAGGCAGGTGAGGGGGCTCAACTTGACCCAGGACCTGGGCATCCAAGAGGTGAGGAAGTGATGGCACCAGGTTTGTGAGCCTAGAAGTGGTACCCAAAGGGGAGAAGGGTCACCTGTTAAAGGAAGGAAGAAAATGGCCTGGACAGGATGGTGGCAGGGCCCATGTGCAGGACAGGGCTAGTCCTGGGCTATTTCAGAGATGGACCAGAGGGGGAGCAGAAAGGGCTCCCCAGAAGGTGAGGGGTACCCCAGGATATAGACAGTAGGAAACAGAGGGTGAACTCAGGACAGTCAGGGGAGTTTCAAATGTGGTCAAGCCTAATAAGTCCTCTGCAACAGGAAGAGTCCAGGCCTCCAGAGGCCCAGCTGGAGGAGAGGCGCTGGGGACGGCCCAGGCCACCGATCCCACTGCCTCACACGGCTCCAGCCTCGAGGGCTCTTCCTCCCAGGAAGCTTAGGAGGGTGGAGGGCTTGCTAGCTGCCAGCCCTTTGGCATGACCTGAAACACTCCTGGGAGCCAGGATGGGCCCCCATTTCACAGATAGGAACACTGAGGCTTACAGAGGGGCAGTCCTTTGCCTGAGAATGGACGATAGGGTCATAGAAGGTTTATGGAGCCCAAGCTTAACACCCCTGTTCCCCTAACCCACTTCTCTCACATCTGGAAGGTGTTGCTCACCCCCACCCTCCACCCCAAGGTGGGACTCCAGTTCCTCTCCCCCAGCTCAGGACCACCCTCTCCATCTCACACCTGCCCCCTTCTCCTCGGCCTGCCTCTCTCAGTTTGCACGCTAGCTAAGGCCCAGCCAGTCAGACACACCCACAGTCCCCAGGGTTGCTGGACTCCCACCTCCTGCTCAGCCCTGCCGACCCAGTCCCACAGTTCTTCCATTCACTGCCCCTCAAAGTTAGCCTCTGCCCCCACCCTTCCTCAATCTCACTTAGGGGCTGCAGCCTGGCACTCTCCAGGCCCCACTTCCTAACACACACCCAACACACACCTGGGTAGTCACCTCCCATCACCATGAGCCCCTGACAGGCCCCTCACTCTCGACACCCCCCCCCCCAACTCCTCTCCACAGCAGCCAGCTGGGAATGTTCTTTGGGAAGGAATCCCACAAATTTATCCCCCCAAGAAACAGTGTTTCCTGATGGCAACAAATTGACTTGAGAACCCAAGCAACACCTCAAGTTTTAGGAGATTTAGGGGAGCATTTTCATAGCCCATCCCCAGCTGAGGCCTCTTAGGTTCTGAGGGGTGAATGGAGAGGGCAGAACCACAGGAGAGAATCTTCCAGAATCGTCAGTCTCAGATACCTACAGACCACAGCCGTCCACTTCTCTGGAGGGCAGCTGCAGGCAGGGACTGCAGTTGGAGGGTGAAGGCAGCTCACAAGCCCAGGGCAGAGCATGGCCAGGGGAAGGGCTGTCCTTGCCAAGCACTAACTTAGTGCAAGTCTTCTCAAAGAATAAAGATGGAAACACGAGGGGGAGTGGGAGAGGGAGAGTTAAATGTCGACTGGCAAAGGGGTTGAGGGCAAAGGGCAAATAGCGGTCAATTAAAAACCATACACACACAAAAATCTCTCCTTCTTCCAGAGACAGGCATCTAAAGTTAATTTTTAAAAGCAGACACACACACACACACACACACACACAAATATAGAAATAGGGCCACTTGTAACAGAAGGACACAGGGACAGACTTAAGTTCACAGCTATCCTTCCATTTAGTCACCAGCAGAAGTGAACAGAGTGGAGCCCCAGGTTACTATGGCCGACAGGTAAAAAAAAATGGTTGAGAAGTACAACAGAGAAGGGAGACCACTCACTGCATTATGACCACCAGGGTGAGACTGAGGAATGGAGAGATCAGGAAAGGCAGGGAGCCCCATGGGGTGGCGAGGGTCAGCTGTGGGGGAGGCCTGCGAGGCCACACCACTGGCCACAAACACAAGAACTGAGCCAATGAAAATGACAAGGTGACAGTGAGAATTTCCCAGCAAGCCTGGACACCCATGGGCAGAGACAGCGGCCTCCTCTGCCTCTGCCTCTGCTTTCAAACCCAAAGCATTCTGGTCTCCTGTTGCTTAGAGGAGAGAAATGTAAGTAATGCAGAGCTGCCTGGAGCAACGCTGAGTGCCCGGCAGGGTTGGGAAATGCTGAGCCCAGAAACAAACACTCCAAAGGCAATGAAATCTCAGAATCCACATGAAATGACCGTGTGCTCACTGACCTCCCCAGAATGCACAACCATGGCCCACAGAATAAAGCAGAGTTCAAGGCCCCTCACCCTGCTGGTGGTGGCACCACCGGACATTTTGTAATGTAGGAGCCTCACAGCCTTGGGATACTGTTCTCCGTCTGGGCCCCCACCCCCCAAAGTCGGCCAGTTTTTCCCTGGGGGTTGGGGGCCCCTCCTCTCTGTGCTGCGGCCCTGGTCTCTGCCATGGGTCCTCTCCACGTCCCCACTCGCCATGCACAAGGCTGAGGTCATGTGCCCACTGCCCCAAGTCCAGGGTCCAGCATGGGCCTGGAGAGCAGTCGGAGTGGGGCGTGTGTGCCGGGGGAGGTCTGGGGGTTGAGGCAGCACAGGAGTGACAAGTGCTCATGCGCAGGCTTGGCCTGTAGCCTGGGGAGCAAGCTGCCATATTCTCAGGGCCTGCACCAGCCGCCCTCCTTCACTAGACAGGTAGGTGGCCCAGGGCCACCCTGTCTGCTGAAGACCAAGGCTGGTTTCCACATCACCTAGAAGCGGCGAGGTGCACAGAGAGGAACCAGGACATGGCTTCCGTTCTCTGAGGCCCAGCTGCTTTATGACTTACGATTAATTTCCTTCCCTGCCCTTCCTTTTTTCAACAAACTCCCGACTCTGTGATGGAGTCACACGGATATGAGCAAAACAATCCCTGCCCTTGGGAGCCCAGGGCCTGGAGATAAAGGCCTGAAGACAGCAAGAGGGAGGAATTCCCCAAAGTGGGACTCAGAGGTGGCCCTAAGACTGCCAGGAAGGGTGGGGGACAATGCTGTGGCCCTGAGCTCCGACAGGACCACCTGAGGAGACGGCCTCAGGAACAGTGCAGCGGCCAGCAGGCAGGCAACAGAAGCAGGTAGTGCAGGTTGAGGTGGCACCGAGTCTGGCACAGAGATGTCCCCACTGGGCATGATGGTGAGGGACTTGTGCATGAATTTGTGCAAGTCACCAAAGACCGGGGGTGAGTATGGGAGGGACACCGAGCCCCCAGCTCCCAGTGCCACCTGCCCCTACCAGTCTGGCTAAACCTGGCTCCGGGAAACCACTTGCACTGTTCCGAGGCCCCTTTGCACTGTTCACCAGCGGGCAGCCAGGGGGCTGAATGACAGTGCTGCCAGCCAACATCTGCCAGCAGCCCACAGAGGCCGCCACTACTCTGAGCACTCTGCCTGGGTCACTGCTTTCCACTTCTCACAACCCGCGATTACCTCTACTTTACAGGTGGGGGCCGCAGCAGCAGGGCCAAGTGACTGGCCTAGTGTCGTGGGATAGGGTTCATGACTGGCTCCTAACTGTGCCAGAAACCGCGCCCACCCCACACCTGTCACCAGCCCCAATTCTGCCTCTCTCATGGCGCCGTTTTTCCTTACTGCGCCCCTGCCCTGGCACAGCCCCTCACCTCCATGTTCCTGCGCATCACCGGTGGGTGGCATCCCATCGTGCCCCGAGACCTCTCTAATCCAAGCTCTGCTGAAACCCTAACACCTTTGGAGATGCCCTCTGTCTTCTGTGGCTCCAGTGCACTTTTGCTAGCACCCGACTTGTAAAAAGTCCCTTGTTTTTTTTTCATTTAAAATATGTACTTTCCTCTAGTTGACTAGCTTTGACTCATATGCTCAACATACTGCTTATTCGTACAGCTGCATTTTCCTAGATCTGGACAAAATACTTGCTGAGCCCTGCTTAACTTCAGGGAGCCCCACAAAGAAATAGCAACCCTTTGAAAAGGAAACCACAGCACTGTTACAGAAATATTGTCTCCATTGTTAAAAACCTTTCTGCAAATGGAGAATCGTATGTCTTTATTTCTGAATAACTACTGGGAGAGTTTGTAACTGCTTCCAGGTCTCATACAAACGCATATGTATTTTTATGGTAACATATACATCACATACGATTTATCATTCTACCCATTTTCAAGAGCACAGTTTTGTGGCATTAAGCATGGGCATACTGTTGTGCAAGAACCACTTTTTATGGGCCCGACTTTCTCACTAGGTTACAAGCTTCCTCAGGGCAGGGAGCCCACCCCTGTCCCCTCCAGTGTTGGCAAGGCCTTTGTGCATGGCAGCTGACAAGTGTGATGGCAGCGGGGAGGAGCTGGCTTCCTTCCACCACGAGTGCATGGTGTGGGTTGGGATGTGCAGCCTGAGGTCTGTAACCTTCAAAGAGGAAGCTAAAACACGCTATGGAACATGGTGGGCAGCAGAGAAAGGTTTTAAAGACAGGGCTGGCTTCAGGTGCTAGCTCAAAGGAATTCTACAAATGAACTTGTGTGGAAGTTTCCAATTCTCAAAGGGACATTCTTTTTGTCTACCACTTACAACTAGGCAGAGAGTACATGCTGTTAAGTCACAATGCAGATGAAGAAACAGGCTCGGGGACAGCGAACAACCCAACTAAAGCCACTAAGGTGAAGCTGGACTCAGACGGGATCTTCAGATGCCCGTATCAGTTCCACCTCGGCTGCAGGAGGAAAAGAGTGAAATCTGACAATAGGCGGGATACGAGCATAAAGGCCAGAAGCGAGCGGAAATGACCTCAGAGTGCTGGCCCTCACAGTCCATCTCCCAAGCAGAGAGCAGAGCTCCACTCACAGAACTTAACTGCCATGCGGACACCTGTCAGTCAGGGCCTGGGTGTAGCTGGGTGGGAGCAGGGGGTGGGGGGGGCGGGTCCATCACCACCCACTATGTCAGGCCTTTACTAAAATCTCCACAATCAGGTGCCATCTCCCCCTACTACACAGAAAGGTTAAAGGGTTTGCCTTAGGTCGTGGTCTCCCTGGCTGCGGTTCCATCTCACATACACGTCCCGCTAAAGCTGCTGCAGCCCCAACACTGGCTTTAACTAAAACACTTTAAATACACTCAGGGCAGGGCCATGGGCCATGGGTGGGGGCACCTGGGCAGAGACGCAGTCCTGCAAAGGTTCAGGGGCTGGTGGGGTGGGCGTCTGGGCAGTGGGACCGGCCCAGATGCTCCTGCGGAGAGAAGAGGGGAGGGGCCAGACTCCGGAAAATGGGGACGCTTCACCTCTTAGCACCCCATGCCGCTCTAGCCCTCAGTCCACACCTGGCCTTGGCTCAGCCACACCCCCGTCAAGCTAATGTCCTCCCAATTCTGCACCCTTGGCTCCTCAGTCCACCAATTCCCCGCCTCAGGGTCCTCAGCAGCTCCTCTCTCTCTTCAGCCCACGAAGCGGCCCCCTAATCCTTTGAGTCTCCCCATTTCGGCCTCCCTGCCGCGGCAGCCCCCCATCATGCCCCCTCTGGATCCTCAGCGGCCCATTTCACCCCTGCACCACTAGGATCCCCACCTGAGCCTCACCCCAATGCCGTCAGCCCCGCAATCCCGTTCCAAGGGTCTCCTCACCCCCAGGTCCCCGCGGGCCTCACGTGCCAATCTGCCGCTCCGCGCTCAGCCCGCAGCTCCGGCCGGCCCCGCCCACTTCCCGTTCCCTGCCCCCAGCAGCCATCGCGCAAGCGCAGTTGGGCCCACTGAAGAATGGGGGTGGGGTCGAGCCTCTGCTGCCCCCTGGCGGCCATGCGACCCGTGACTTCGGCCCTCTCATTTAAGGTGGAGAAGACAGGCTCTCCTGCTGGGTTCTGCTTGCTTACTGGTGACTTGCTTCACTTTTTGAGCCTTGAGTGGGTGGGTACATGGGGAAAGCAATCCCTACCTCACAGCGCCCAGAAATTAAGCAACTTGTGCAGTCAACAGACATTAAGTGGTAGAGCAGGGATGCATACCCCAACTACCCAAGGGACGCCATCCATCTGGCAAGGAGTCCCGGACCATCATACTTTTAAGGACTACTTCAGTTTCCGATTGCTGCTCTGACAATGACCACAAAGTGAACACAAATTTATTAGCAGTTTCGGAGGTCAAAAGTCCACAAAGACTCAATGGGCTAAGTTCACGGTGTCCGCAGGTGCATTCCTTTCTGACGGCTCCAACGGGAATCTGCTCCCTCGTCTTTTCCAGCTTTTGAAGACTGCCCCTCTCCTTGCCGGTGGTCCCTTCCATCGGCAAAGCCAGGAACGTACAGACCCTTATGATGCATTGGGCCACCCGAAGAACCCAGGATAATCTCCCTATTTTAGAGTCAAATGATGTGCAATCTTAATTCCACCTGCAACCCCCATTCCCTTTGCTACACGGGGGGCCAGGAGGACGTAGACATCTTTGGCAGTCACTCATCTGCCGCCATAGGGCCCCAGAAAGATGTTTTACCGCCAAAAGAAACAAATGAACTTTTAGGTCAAAGAAAATATTTCAATATATAGTATTAATATACTCATTTTTATATCAATACAGTTGTAACATATAATTAAAAAAATCTTGTATGAAGAAAGGGCCCTCAAAAGTTCCCCAGTGCCTCTACTCAAGTGACCTTCATGTCTGCACACTGGCCTGTGTCCTTCTTAGGAGTTAAGGTCTCTGAGATGTTTCACTAACAGGAAGGTCTTGGTGAAGCCAGGAACCTGGAAAACTAGCCGTTGGCCAGTTTGAAAGGAAACCATCTGGGGCGGGGTGGGTCTGGAAGGAAGAGGGTGTCTGGGTGGATAAAGCAGGGTGGAAGGGGTGCTGGCTCATCCCACTCTTCGACCCACGCCTCCCTAGTTCCTGCTGTCAGCAAGGCGGGAGGCTACTTCTGATAAACCTTGACCCTGGGTGTTCTCAAGCCTCAGTCTCCCTACCAGAAAAATGGGGGCAATAGCAACCAACCTCATAGGATTGTTGTGAGAACCTGCATCAGTGTTTCTCAAGGTGTATCCAGGACCACGTGCAACAGAATGGCCGTGGGGTGAAGTTTGAGAACCACAGTGCAGGTGAGGTGGTGTGTGGGACAGGACCTCCCACACTGTAAAGTCGGGTGTTCATGACAGCTGACAGATCTGCAGGGCTCCACGGCTGGGGCCCACATGTTTTAGAGCACGTTCCCTTCAAGGCTGGGAGCTTGGAGATGAGGCAAAGCAAGGCACTGCCTCTTGGTGAGGAGCTTGCCCCTTACTGACACAGGGCCAAGGACATGCCTGTGAGCTTACTCCTGCCCTGTGGTTTCTGCCTACCCCTCCCTGTCTGCATTCCATCACACCTCAACTCCTGGCTCTTGACTTTCACACTTGTAAAAGGAATCTCTCAATGTCACCCCCCACCCCACCCCCAGCCAGAGCCTCTGCTTCTCACTCTTGATGGGTGGAGGAGCAGGGAGCCCCCCAAAGAGCTGGGTTTTCCTCTTGTCTCTGTCCCCTCTGACTGAACTTTGTCCTGGTCCCCAAATGTCTCCTGTTCTGGAACCCCACCCTGAGCACTCTGCCCCCCACACACACACCCTGCAAGTGGTTATAACACCTCCCTCCTCCAGCTCTCCCAGGCTGCATGCCATCACACATCATGAGACTCCTTGTGGAGAGGGCATCACGGTGGTCTTGGGCCTTCAAACCATCACTGAGCTGTGACCTTGGGAAGGACGTGCAAACCCTCACCCCAACATTCCAGGACACTTGCACGCTGCGGTGCCCATCTGGCTTCCTGTCTACTGCTGCCTTCTAACGGGGGCCTTGGGGACTCCTTCAGCCACTGGTGTCTTCAAGTCTTCAAGGGCCTGACCCATGGAGTTGGAAGCGGGGGTGGGTTAATATCTGCAGGTGTGTGCGGTACATTCTCCTGTCCAGCAGACCTGGAAGGGTGGCCACATTCACATGAGCAAACACATCGGTCTCAACATACACCAGGGTTGGAAGGTGACAAGGATGGGGTTTATCAAGGACAACGGTCTGTTCTAGCCAGTTCAGCTGGACAGACAAGTCCTATCACTATGAGCCATTTGCAAAGACGGGAGGCCTGGTCTGGAGGGGTTCTGCCCCCCTCCGAGCAGGCCAGCTTGCAGCCATGGACCTCCCGCTTCCCCTTCTCCCACACCCTCCTCTTTCAAAGCAGTCTTTCCCAGCAGCCAGAGTGATCCTGTTAAAATGAAAGTGGGACCATGTCCCTCCTCTGCTCCAAACTCCCCAATGGCTCCCCATCTCGCTCAGAGTCAAAGTTGAAGTCTTAGTAAAGACTCCTGATTTTACACCAGGAGTCCTCTGCCCTTTACCACTCAAACCTCATCACCTCTGACTCTCCTCCACACTGTCACTCCGCTCCAGCTACGCTGGTGTTTCTCCAACCCACCGGGCGCAACGTTGCTACGGACCTCTGCTCTCGTTCCTTCTGCCCCACACACGGCTTACTCTTCACCTCCATCTCTGTGCACGCTTCCTTTTCAGGCTATTTCTAACCACCTTGTTTAAGACCAAACACCTACAAACACACGCAGGCACACCCACACACACCCACATACATATGGCACCTCTTAACCTCTTTCCTTGCTTCATTTTTCTGCTTAGAACTTATCACTGTATTATTTACTTAATTTTATTTATTTATCTTGTTCATCGTTTGCACAGTCTATTCAATCTTGGATCACCAAGGACCCTCTCTGTTGACAGAGACCCAGTTCCAACTAGTTTAAGCAAAAATGAAAAGAATGTAATGACCTAGAAGAGCCTGTGGGTAGCTAACCTCAGGCACAGCTGGATCCAGGAATCCAGAAGATGCCGTGGGCCGGGTCAGCTTGTTCACAACATAACAAACCTTCCCCAAGCACCCATTTACTTGATCCTGGTTCTGGGAACTGGCTGAGGACTTTTTCTGGTCTGGACTGGCTCACCGGAAGCTGGAGGTCTACAGCACTTTCACGCGCATGTCTGGCAATTGGCTCAATATCAGTTGGAAAATCAAATGCCCTTAGTCACGTCTTTCTCGTTACCCAACAGGCTGGTCTGAGCTTGTTCACCTGGTTACTGGCCTCTGAAAGTAGCAGGAGAAAGGACAAGTCCCAGTAGGTACTCCCTTTTTAAACCTTTGCTCGCATCCTGTTTGCTGATGCCTCCTCCGTCCAAGCGATCCCATGCCCTGCCTGCTTCAGGTGATGGAAAAACAGGCTCCGCCTCTTGATGGAAGGAACCGCATGTCAGCATTGAGGAGGGGTGTGCACAGTGGGATGGGAAAAGTCTACGAGCGTTGTTTCACATTTTCTTGGATAATCTCAGTTCACACAGCAGTGAAAACAGCCCTGCTCTCCGCCAGGGTATTCTCTGCTGCCCCACAAGAAACATCAGTGAGCAAGTGCTTCACACGGAGGGTGAGCGGAGGATGTGGGAGAAGGGGAAGCGGGAGGTCCGTGGCTGCAAGCTGGCCTGCTCGGAGGGGGGCAGAACCCCTGCAGACCAGGCCTCCCATCTTAGCAAATGGCTCATAGTGCTAGGACTTGTCTGTCCAGCTGAACTGGCCAGGTGTAGATAAAATGGCTCAAAGATTCACACACAGGTTTTTGTGAGAACCGAACTTTTATTTCTCTTGGTTAATTGCCTAGAAGTGGAATCGTAGGGCATGTGTTAAGTGTGCCCCCCCACCTTCAGGTGTCACCCAAGCAGGATCTGAGTGGCATGGGCACTTATGATTTTAGTGGCTCTCCTTGCTTCTCCCCTCCCATGTCCCCAGGGGAGAGGGCAGGAGGGTCACAGGTGCTGGTGCTAAAGCTGTCACCTGTGTGTAGGTGGCCGGGCTAGCACCCCTGCTCCCAGGGCTTCCTCCTCAGCCTCACAGAACTGTTCCCCCCTTTCACACTGCACTTACTTCTGCTAGAGCTGCAGGGCCTCCCGGTTCAGCCATTGCGTACACGGGCAAACAGGGACGATCCGGGGAACTAACGCCCCAAGGAGCAACTCTTGACCAATGGGGAGACAGGAGCCAGTGAATGCATGTTCCCCTCTCCCACCTCTCAAGAGGGCGCCTTGTACGCTGCTCCTCAGAGGGTCCCCAGTGGGACCAAACCCACTGCACGCGGTAATGATGCATTTGATGATATTCCTTGGAATGTTTCCTTCTCGCCCACACCTGATCCTTAGCATCACCCTCAGGCAAGGCCTTGTCTCATCCTCTTCTTTTAGGGAAACTCCAGCTAAGGCAGCCCCTGGCTTTATGACACGGAGGGAGGCTAGGGGCTGCAGGACAAAGGAAGAGTGACAGAAATGGCGAGGGCCTGGGTCGATGGGATGGCCAATTCTGCCCTCTTTCATTGTGCAATGTATGGGTAGCTTAAAGGGGAGAAAAAATACTCCACAGTTTCAGCTGTGGAGTATAAAGTCAAGTTCTTCATTGCCAGTGAGGTTCCTAGGTTTCACTTAACTGATCAGATATCAACTCGAACCCCACAGTGAAACAATCGTATACTTAGTGTTCTTCCCAGAGCGACTGAAAAATAATGACCAACTCCCTCAAGACAAGTTGGACAACTTCAAGTCCTCTGTCTAGCAGTTGTGGATAAAATGGCTCAAAGAATCACATATAGGTTTTTTGTGAGAACAGAACTTTTATTTCTCTTAGTTA